ATTTAAATATGGGAGCTGCTTATCTGTAGTGTGAACAATGCACTAAAAGGGCAAATCGGGACTCATGAAAGCTGTACTGTTGTCTTAAATTCCAGGGGAGGGGGACCCACGTAAGTGGAGGTTTATGTGCAATGCATGTGGTGATGGGTTTAAATGTCAAATCTACCCATCTGTCTGAGAAAATGTCCTTGCAACCCCTCATTAACACCGCCTATGCTGGAACCACAGGGTGGAGGGTGACGCTGTGCAGAGAAAGGGCTGGCGGATAATTACTGTATTATTGTGTAATCAGTGCAGGACTGAAAGATCCTTAAACTGGAAGAGCTTAATTTGGAGAATCCTGACATTCAAAATTGTATCACCAGCAAGACTGCAAAACAGGCAGAGCTATTTGAAAAGCAACAACAAAAACAGAATAAAACAAAAACAACCAAACTACCTACTCTGGTCCCCCCCCCACACACACACACACAAGGGGCCAATACCCTTCACAGAGGAGGGACATGTAAAAGAAGTAATGTATTCTTAATTCTTTCTTGCCTAGTTTTAACATAGCATTCCTGTAATGATCCTACCTGGTCATCTACCAATATGTATATCGTCGTGTCATGTATACCTGTCTCAATTTTGCCCAGTTTAGAGCTAGCTTACTATTCAAGTTGTATTATGGTATAACATTTCTCCTTTGCTCTCAGTGACTTTTCTGAGCATGTGCATATCCGTGGGCTTGCTTCACACTAAAGGGCAGTACATGTCGGGGTTAGTTGCATAGGAACTGGCTGGAGGCTGCCTAGATTGCAGTTCTAGTTTTGTGTTTATCTAGCCCTGTAATCTGGAATAAGTTACTTAATTACTTTAAATGTTAGTTTCCTCATCTATAAAATGAGGATAAATAACATCTGTCTGTTGTGAGGTTTAATGAAGACAGCATGTCTAGCAAATGGTAAATTGATAAATTGTATATAGAAGGGGTAAGACTAGCAATAGTAGTAATAATAGTGGTACCAAGAGCAGTTTAGGGATCCCATCAGGGAGAAAAGTGTTCTAAGAATAATGCCTAACAAAACCTCAAGTGTACATATCTTTGATAATAATGGTAACTGGCAAAAATAATTTAATGATATAAAATATAACTGCATGGAGAATTATTGGGTGACTGTTCAAAAAATTTTTTTTTGTATAATAATGATATCAAAGTACAGATGAAGCATAAGGGTACAGACCAGTTTCATGTGTATCAGGTAAGTTACAATATAAGAGCATAAAGGTCTCCATGAATCTAAAAGGACTCTTATTTCTAAGGAGCAAGTATATTCGAGATTGAAATGGAAGGTTTGAATTCTGGCTCTGCCACTTGCAAGCTGCTTGATTTGAGAAAAATTACTTAATGTTTCTGCGCTCCATTTTCTACATTTGTAAAATGGAGACAGTACTAGAACTTACTTGGTAGAAATAGAATTAAAAATAAAAGAGGCAATAATTGAGACATGCTTTAGTACAGTAACTGTACAAAGCAAGCATTTATAAAACTGTTAGCTAATATTGTTCAAAAGAGTGAAACTTTCTAACACAAAAGGCAAATATATTTCTAGGGAATTAAAAGATCTTTGATCTGAAACCAATTACATTCTTGTTCTCATTTTTGGGAGCGATTCGCATCATATTCTATAGACTTCACACTCAAGCTTCATTCCCATAATCTAGAGAGGCAAAGAGCCTTGGAAGTAAATCCAAGTATTAATAAATACGATTTAAAATGGACCTCATTATCTTCCCAGAATAAAAGAAAAGCCATCTTAAAGCATCAGTAAAAAAAAAAAAAAAAGAAAAAAAAGAAAAAAAGAAAAAGCAATCAACCAAAAGTTGTCAATGAGAAAACGAGGAAATCTGAGCTATTCTAAAGTTAAGATGATAGCAGGCTGAAGCAGAGGCTCCTAGTTGTCCCAAACCCATTCTGCCATTCTCCCCAAATAACTGAATATTTATTTGGTATGTAGCCATCCAGACAAAAAGACTACGTTCTTAGTTGTCCCTGCACCTAAGTGTTCCCACCTGACTGGGTTGTGGTCAGTGAGATGTAGGTATCATATGGCAGCTAATGGGGACCATCTTGAAGAAAACACAGGCACAGGCTTTTGCCTCCGTCTTCCTCATCGCTTCCTCTGTCCTCTGACTGCAATGAGGATGCTGGTGAGGTGATGGGGATAAGGGCAGATCCAGGACATTGTATGTGGTGGTGCGGACAGTGCAATGCATGGTTGTGCAACACATGAGGGGCAGAGGCGCTAAAAGCAGGGCACAGCCAAGGCCCCTAACAATTGGGAAGACACAGGACCATCCCTGCACAGCTGGTATCCAGATTTGGTTTGTGAGAGAATAAACCTTTGGATGACTAAACTGCTCTTAACATGGGTGTTCTGATCTATGCAACAAACCTAATTCAATGTACACAACTAGAAACGTCTAGTGATCTCATCCCACATTTGTACTTCCCACATCATTTGCAGCAATAAATGTAGAATGGAAGTAGCTCTGAAAAGAGTATAAAAGCAGGATAAAATATCATTATGCATAAAAGGAATGAACACAACATAAGATAGTCTACTTTCCCTTTATATTTTCTTAAATTTTCCAAAAGTTGTCAATAAGGCAATAAGGATATACTCCTTTTATAATAACCAAAAAATAAATAAATAAACCTAATGAACAAATAAAAATGATGAAATAATTGAAAGCAAAATTTATCAAAAACATCATTTTTAGAATCAATCTATTTTCCCATGGAAAATATGATCTGTTTTTCAGGTACCCTACGAGCAGGCATTCTCCTGCCTTTACTGACAACCTGCTTGATCCCCACTTCTCATCTCAGATGATCTGAACCAGATCTAGGCTTCAAGGTACATTTAAATATAGTCTTTTCAATGGTGTCTTTCTTTTGGTGGAAGTGATAGCTATTTCCGTAAACCCCAACAGCATTTCCTGCAATGTGTAGTATATCATTTTTTACATTACAGTAAACATTTCATATCTCTAAGAATATTATAAAGTTCTCTGGAGCATGTAGTTCTTTGTCTTTGTACTTATCTATTCATTCATTTGTTCATTTGTGTGTTCACTTACTTATTTGACAACTGATTATTGAATATCTCTGTGATATGCCAGATAATATACAAGATACAAGGAGATATGAGGAAAAATAAAACATGGTCTTTCATTCAAAATGTGAGCTAACTATGGATAAGAGGAGACAAAGTAGCAAATACATAAATGTAATACAAATGTGATAATTTCTAGGGGAGAGAGAAAGGTATACAATGATAAGCTGACAGAATGCTTAATTCTGCCTTAAGAAAGTCAGGGAGGCCCTCACAGAAGCATTGACTCTTAAATTAATTTTTTACAAGGACTAACAGACATTTTCCAGGCACATAAGCAGATGGAAATTGTGGGGAGGCAAGGGGGAAAAAAGAATACATGGGGCTCAAATTAGTGAAAATAAATAGCAGAAAAGAAGGTTCAGTTTTGTGTGATTCAAAGCACGGGGTGTGAAGGGAGGCTTGAGAGAAACCAGGAGCTATGAACATAGTATTAATTTAACAACTGTTTTTTGACTATTACTGTCACATGTGCTCTGCAACAGGCATTGGATCCTTGCATTGGTTGATCTGACCGCACATTGTAGATATTTAGGGGATAGGAATAGCACGCCAAAAGATCCTTGATATTTGGTCCTGTCCAAAATGTCCATAAGCATATTTGATTCATGTCAAATGGTCCTTAATATTTGGTCTTGTATAAAATGTCCACACTTAGAAAACATCTCTGGGTTCAGATAGCCCATAACATTTATTTAGGCTTTTGGTTTACAGGATTAATACGTTAAAAATACTATCGTGTTTTATTGCTCCAATAATTGTGTTGTGGCTGTATGGCCAATAATAACCCTCCTTGGCTTAGTAGCCTAGCTGGTGATGGTGCATGAGTGAGGGAGATTGGTTGGCGTGGACCAAATGTCTCCATAGACGTTTTGGACAGAACCAAATATCAAGGATCTTTTGGCATAGACCAAATATATCTCACATTTTGGACAGGGCCAAGTGTCCAATAATCATACATAAATAAGATGCATAATGTGTTGCCATGCACTACCTTAATTTTCTCACTTCCTCAGACAGGAGGCTGAACCAGTGTTTTAAGTGATTATAATGTATGACATTTAGGAGAAGGATGCTATGTTAGTACATGTCTAGACCACTGCTGCTTTCTGAGCCTATATTAAAAACCTATCTGAATGCAGTAAATGTGGGCATTCCAATGGTATATTCTCATCCTATTTAAGAAAAAAGTTGCCAAAAATGGGTTTCCTCAGCATAAAATTATTTATTCCACTGCTCAATTTGAAATGTCATATACTAAATATTAATATATAAATATCATAACTATATTTAATGATGAAGGAATGGTAGGTTATAGGCTCAATTGAGAATAAAATTTAATGTAGTGAATAAATATTTATTGATCACAGTAATGCATAACTATTTTCTTTCCTTAAAAAATACAAAGAAAAATTAATACGTTATATTGTTAAATATGCTCATGAGGACGTAGATATTAAGATATAAACATATTTCTAAAAGGCTTTTGAAAACTTTAAAGCACTATAAAAGTACCGTTGGCTTTTCAAGGGTGTAGCCTGAGAAATTAAAATATTGTGTTGAAAAAAAAGAAGGAAATTACATTCAAAGTGGTATCTACCACTACTTTTTTACTTTCAGGAATTTTCTAGCTTTCCAGATATTCAAGCAGTTTTTTCAAAGTGTCAGGTATTTGTAATATAATTTTCTTATTTTTATATTAGGAGGCATTATTATGTTTTTTTAATCTTTGTTCTGATATTTTGCATTCTAAGCAAACTCTACTGAGTGAGGACAGCAGGGGTACAATTGGCATAAACACACCGATAAGGGTCTAAAGAAGAAAAGAAGTTCATTTCATACCTTCAATAGGTTTTGGTACAAAATGTGATGAGGGCTTGGTTTTCTTCACTCTGTTCCCCTTCATAATTTGACCTTCTTTATTGAGTCCCAGAAACCACGCTCGGCCTGATTCTTGCTGACGGTACAGTGTGGAAGAATAGATCACATAGTAGTTTTCAAACACAGATTCCTTGAATTTGCATTCTGGAGTGAAAACATCCTGCAGAAAAAAAGAATACACAAAAGAGAGACAGGATTTTAAACTGAATCAGCAAATGCTTAAATCCAATGAACCTGAAATACAGGCCCTCTGTTACAAACAAATGAGAGGCAACTGACTGCACAGCAATTCTATTAGCCCTTGGTTATAAATATTCATCATGCAAAATCAAGAAACAAGATTTCCTTTCTGAACAGCCTTTACAGAACACAACTGCTCAGGCTGGAGTCACTCACTGGGCTAATATCAAGATCGTACCCAGGTCCAGACTCTGTCCCAGTATCACGTATTGTAAATTTATGAGACTGGCCATTGCACATTTCAGTGGCTCTTAGCGTGTAAAATGTATCCCTGGGAATCAAAATCAAACACAACCACAGCACACACAGGCTCACAAGATGTTTTTGAAGGGACGATTCTAGATATATAAAAATCTATTACTCAGCCAAAGCTTGCTCCATAAAATCACCATATACTATCTCTTTGTGAATGTCATTAACTTTCCCTTTAATCTCTTGAAAACACTATTTTTTTTTTTTTTACTTAGTAATCAAAATCTCAGGTGAACATACCCCCAGGAGTAAATAGTAGATAAAAATACTATTACATTGTGTGACCTTCAATGAAACATAGAATGAGAGCTTTAATTCAATATGGAACCTTAAAAATCCTCTACTTCAACTCCATCATTTCACAAGTGAGACAACCACAAAGTATGTGGTTAATCCAAAGTTACACTGAAAAAAATTACTACAAAATACCAGAACTCACATTGATTGCTTCACAGTCACTGCCACTCAAGCTCACCTTTTCTGCCTGAGTCTTGTTTAGTGACTTACAATGACATTTTGTGATACAGACAATAAAATAAAATCCTGACATGCCAAATGAACAAAATTAATTTCACATTAAGAAGAAATTCCTCCCCTTTGGAGATAAGCAGAAAAAAAAACCATGTTAATAGCATCTTCTTCAGCTATAATAAGTAAATAGGAATCCTCATGTCACATATATTCACAGTGGTCACTATCATCTTCACCGCATACTGGAAGTTTCTCTTCCTTGTAACCCTTTCAATACAAATTCCCAATGATTAAATGTGGTTACAACTAAAGTTACTGAAGGATATGTGGGACTAAAACTGGTTGAAGCCACATCCTTGTAGGTGTTACTCCCTAATTCCCTGGCTTCATTTGCAGAAAGCTACAGTGATGCATCTGTGGGGACTCATGAAGGCTTTCAGTGATAAAAGACACTGCTTAAGGGGCTCTGTTCATTATAAACGGTTCCAACATTACAGACCAAGAAATGAGACTAAACAAATGGAAAGGGGAATGGAAAGGTGAGTGTAGACATTAAAATGATAATAACAGTAATAATCATTTCAATAATAATTATTATTATATTGGTGATAAAAATGTGATGTCACAGAGTACTCTGTTTTAAATAAACCTAGTGAGCTGAGAATGAGAGAAATAAGTGATGACTATGCAATGCCATTTCACATCCACCATGATGGCTATAATAAAAAAAGATGGACAATAAAAAGTGTTGGTGAGAAGGTGGAGAAACTGCAACATACATAGCTGATGGGAATGCAAATAATGTAGCAGCTGTGGAAAATAGTTTGGTGGTTCTGCAAAAGGTTAAACATACAGTCACAATATGAATTCAGAAATTCTACTTCTAGGTATAGTGCCTATGAAAAATGAAAACATATGATCACACAGCAACTTGTACACAAATGCTCACAGCAGCATTATTCATAATGTGGAACCAATTTAAATATCTGTCAATGGATGAATGGCAAAATCATTTATGGTATATGCAAACAAAGGGACATTATTCAGCCATAAAAAAGAACAGAATACTGATTCATGGGGCAACATAGATGGACTTCGAAAACATGCTGCTAAGTGAAAGAAGCCAGACACAACAGGCCATATGTTGTATGATTCCATTTATATGAAATATTCAGAATAGGCAAATCCAGAGACAAAAATTAGATTAGTGGTTACTAAGGACTAGGTTGGGGGGTGGTAAATAGAGAGTAACTGCTTTTTTGTGGAGATGAAGGTGTTCTGGGATTAGATAGTAGTGATGTTTGCATATTGTGAAAAAACAAAAACAAAAAAACAACACTTAGGTATACACTTTTAACATGAACTTTATGGTCTGTGAATTGTAGCCTAACAAAAAAGAATCTGAGAAACAAAGCGACTGGAGAAAGTGAGAAGAAAGCTTGAAACTACTGTATATCCCTTATTTGTCAACACAGAAGCACATGACAGTCTTGTTTACTGGAAAATGGGCTCTTTTGTGACCTTGTCTCAATATTACTAGGACAGAGTTTAATCACTGCAAATTATAGGAATCGCAGTGATTCAGATTCAACTTATAAGATTAAGTTCTTTTATTATTTTTAAAAAATTTTTATTATTTTTCTTTTTTTCACTGAGCGATTCTGCCACCTGTTGGCAGCTCAGCTCGGGACTCAAACCGCTGTTGCTCAGAGCTTGCATTCTTGAGCAAGCTCTTAACCAACTGAGCCACTCGGCTGGCCCTATAAGATTAAGTTCTGGTTTTCTTGTAGGACTAAGTTAAAAGATTTAGGAAATGCTACAAATTTAATACTGATTTTACTTGTGATATATTTTAAAAACAAACTAATGTGCTTTTATTGAACAAAGTAACTGAAGTCCATGATAGTGAAAATGTTCTGAGAATCATAGGAAGTTAGAGGCAGAACCAGACCCTGGGCTCGAATGGGCTCCCGGCCACTGGTTCAGTACTTTTCCTAATGCCACATGTTTCTTCTTTTCTGCATAACCACACCTGCTTTGGACAAGCTGTTGATTCAAGGCAAGCCATCATGAAAACCATGTCCACCAGATACAATTACTATGTTGTCTTCTATACATGAGAATAATAACACTTGTATTTAATACATAATGAACTCCTAGATTTCTGTTTAGTTTCACAATTATTTAGTCTGCTCCTGGTATAGCAAAAGTTCCGGATATTGGGCAGAAGCTGAAGTCCTGGGGACACAAGCCAGGAATACCATAAGGCAGGGATTGGGCCTTGGAATTCTAAGTTGGCAAATGGGGATCTCAGACATAGCATCCCGGTCCCAATCAGAAATGAAAAGTCAAGTGGAGTAACCCATTTTATATTCCAAAGGGGCTACACAGAATCAGAATTCAGAAATGAGGCACTGATAATACCCGACCAGGGTAAAACATTTCAGGAGGAAAAAAATGGCAGGAATATATTGCAAGCACTTCTCGGGGACACAGGCAGCCTCCTAAGAATGGAGAGAGAAACCTTAAGACCCCTGAGCTGGCTTAGTCAATCATTCTAAACACAACCTTCACAATACATACACAATATCATTATGGAGTTGGGCATCAAAGAATTTACAATAGATTTGCTATTACCACTCTTTTTGTAGAATGAGAAGTCAAGCGTGCTATACGTGGAGTAAGAAAATCAGGCTTTTGCTTCTGGATCCATAAAATACTAACTGTGGGACTTTATGTAGATGGTTAATCTTCTTTGAATTTCATATTTTTCAACTGTAAACTTGAGTTATTGTACGGAAAATAAGATGATGAATATGGAAGAATGCTGTAAACTTTTAGAATTTACAAAAACTCCACCTCATTATTCAAGTTTTTTCTTACAGCAAGAAAATATAATCAATCATGTAACTAGACAATTCTATGTTTTTGTCATAGATGTTTATACCTGCTCCAGCAACCAGGACCCTATGTCAAATATTAAGCTTTATCCTACAGAGATTATTCCTACTATAGCTATAACAAATTACATATATATATATATACATATATATAAATATATATATTTAAATCATGTATTTAAATCATCTAAAGCTTTTGGAAAAGGCTTGGACAACCACATATATAGTGGGATGAGGCTCTGAGGTTATTATAAATATGTGCAGAATGACAATAAATCTAATGTAATGGATGGTGATAGGCAGGTTGGAGCCAAAGGTGATAAAATCCTAGACTAGCTTGATCATAGCATATAATGAAAATAGAGTAACCAATACAATATGGAGGTTTTTTTTTTCCTTTTGAAAGACATTGTATTTGTTTATACATATAATCCTAAAATCTCAGTTCAATGTAGGTATATAGCAAGGTTTATAGAAATATAGGGTTGTCAGAAAAGTCATGACGTATGTTTTCTATGTTTTTCGTTGCAAAAATGTGTCATGACTTTTCCGACAACCTAATAGAAACATCCCTGCATGCACAGCCTGCAGGCAGATATGTGAAATGGAAAGGTTTTTCACATTTATCATCCTAAAATCTTTTCAATCTAAATTTGTTCATCTAAAGCTGACCCTGACTTCAGTGGAATATGCATATGACCTCTGATAGTGTTTTCACATTATTTTTGAGCACTCACTCTTCTAGTAGCATTTGCACAGCCTTTTTTGTTCTAGCATTGTACAAGTCATTATGTGACCAATTGTTTTCACATTCCAAATGCCTATTCACCTTAGCTTTGTCCTGGAATGTTAAGGACACCCGCCCATTTCAATTCAGATGACAAATGTACTATTCATAATAGTCCCAAACTGGAAATGCCTCAAATGACCATCAGTAGTAGAATGGACATGTAGTATATTCAGAAATAAGATACTACAGAGCAGTGAGAATAAACAAGTTACAACTATAAGCAACAATATGGATGATTCTCACCAACATAATGTGGAGCAAAACAAGCCAAACAAACAAACAGATGGCTACATTCTATATGATGCCATTTACATAAAGCTGAAACAGGTAAACTAATCTATTTTGTGGTAGAACTCAGGGCAGGGGTACCTTTGTTCAGGGAGGGTGGTTATTAAGATCAAGGCTGAGGATGACTCTGGAGTGCTGGTAATGATTTATTTCTTCATTGGGGAGCTTGTTACATGAGTGTGTTCACTTCATGAAAATTCATTGAGCTCTATTGTGATT